GAAGGTCTTAAGTTCGAACCTGCGATATGCCGATGAGTTCGGTTATGAACGCATTATAAAAGTGGCAATCAATCACGCTATTCAAATGAGAACAGTCGTTTAGGCGGAGGGTGCTGTTGTCTAACTGTCCTCCCTCTGGTCAGCAGCTAATTTAGAGGCAGCTTCACCTGAGCTATTTTTAACCTGGCCGTTTGGCTCGTGTGTCACACAAGGTGCCGTTCAGATTCTTAATCCCCATACCAGTTGTCGTTTATATATTATATTTTATAATCCCCATACCAGTTGTCGTTTATATATTATATTTTATAATCCCCATACCAGTTGTCGCTTATATATTATATTTTATAATCCCCATACCAGTTGTCGTTTATATATTATATTTTATAATCCCCATACCAATTGTCGCTTATATATTATATTTTATAATCCCCCTACCAGTTGTCGCTTATATATTATATTTTATAATCCCCATACCAGTTATTTATTATATTTGATATGTTGAGCACCTTAAGTGGTTATAGATGAATATTTGTTAGCAGCTTTAAACATTAAATGAAACACGTATGGTGATAAACATTTTAAATTAGAATGTAATTCTTTTCTGTTTGAGTTACATTTATGAATTTATGACTCTCTTCCTATGGACTCGAGATTTTGTAAAAATAATCTATCTATGTGGTTTATATATATCTACCTATCTAGCTATGTGGTTCCTATATACCTACCCACCTATCTATCTCTCTATCTATATGGTTTATATATACCTACCTACTTACCTATCTATCTCTCTATCTATGTGGTTTATATATATCTATCTACCTACCTATCTATCTATCTATGTGGTTCATATATACCTACCTACCTACCTATGTGGTTTATGTTAAATGCTAGGAGTTAGCACTCTACAATTAGACTTAACGTCAAAGTAATATATCAACATCGGAGACGTGGTACAGGTAACAAAAATAATTATAAGTTGAAAGAAAAAATTATTCAAATTCCTTGTCACGCCTATTATATTTATGTAAAATCGACGTATTATAATAATATAAAAACTACTCACGCTATTATAATTTACTGGGACGGAAAACGTGAAAGAGCTAATGATATTCTTCATTAAAAGGTAGCGATGATTAGAGGATTAAACGCACGTAGAAATGGCCAAGCGAAGTGCTTATAGTAAGTGTAATTAACAGCCTTAGTTGAAATTGAGGTAGCTACAAGATTTTTACCATAAAGTCAAAAGCTAAGGAACTAATGTTTCCATAGGAACGTTAACTCATCAAGTCTCTAAGCTGTATCACTAACTTCGATAAATACTTCCTAACCACAGCGGTTACTGACATACAGAAATTTGATTTATAATTAGACGAATCTTAAGAAAGGAACATAACTCTGAAGATCGTAATTACGGATCAAACCGCACACAAACTCATTTTCTACTTCAATGTGTTGAGAGCTTCTAAGAACACATGATGGGCACTTATGTCACACAATGTATAAGATATAATTTTTCCTTATTGTTTCTTGATCCAGTTAAGGTTTAGTAGTCACGGAATAGTGAGAAGTGTCATGAGTTTTGGGCTTGACTATGAAATTATGCATTTCTTGTCCATGATCGTGATGACAGTGACTGTATTTGCATTTTATATTGGTTACTGATGTTTGTTTGCAATCAATATCAAACAAACGTACAGCTTGTTCCACCTACAGCCAATTTCGAGCATAACCTGATCATCGATCTAACATTTTTTTTCTACCTGTCGTAGAGATGAAATCGTCTTTTTAGTCGAGTAGTGCCAAAAAGAATTACATCCTTTAGTTGTAACGTCGCTTAGATAATTAACTTTATACGTCAATAAAAACATTTCAAGCTTTACACTCACAGTAAGTAAAGAAAGGGGGCATGGATAACACTTGTGACGAAGAGTATTATGTAACCAGTCACTCATGTTTGGCAGTGAAACAAACATACCCTTTGCTAATAACGTTACACTAACGTCACTGTGCAATAGGATTTGCTAAAAACAAAATACTTTATGGAATTCCACCACCCCTACCCTCTAGAAAAAAAAAGATCAGAATAAATATTAAAAGGAACCCTGAAATGTCATTTTTATTGATTCGTACAAAAGTCTCCCCTAGAAACGAAATCATTTGGTAAAAGTATCGATCATATAAATCTTTCATCTTAGAGAAACCTCAGCATACCATCAATCAATCACTTGAACTGATTGACACTTTAATACAGCAAATGCAATTACACTTTCTCCCTTACTATACTGATATTTTAAAATCATTCAGTGATTTATATATTAGGCTAAATTTCAAATTTTGTAATACAGAGCTGAATATCTAGATCATGAAACTAGAGCACTCTTATATGAGTGGAATGCAATTCTTCTTAGTATAGTCCAATATATAAGACCGTCGTAAGGTTTATTTAAATTCTTTTAAACAATATTTTCCATGAACACGGGCAAATGTTCAAGTAAACAGTTATGTTTTATATTACGTGTTATAAATCTTTGCTCAGCCAAACGTCATGAAAATATTTGATATATTACTCACATCTATTTCTAGGTTTATGTATCCATATAGCTATTCACCTATGACTATATATCTATACACCTATGACTTTGTTTAACTGGGGGAAGAGTATCCTATAGGTGCTTTGTCATGTAACCACTAATAGAGCATAACATTGTTGTAAGGTGTTCTATCATTTCTTTCTTGCTTTTATATTATTAAGTGAAAATACGGCCAAGTCTAGTTCGTATGTATATTTAACACAAACGTATAAGATTATTTCTTCCTTAACGTTTGCTATAGGCTACTAATACTATCACTTGTCCACAGTTGTACTGTAGGCCTAACTTCACAAATGTCGTTTTCCCTTTCAAAAGATATTTACTCACTAATGGTATTTACGACTGATGTATAAATAAACTTATTTCACTTTTAAAATTTCACGGTTAATCGATATAGACTGAATATATATATGAAATAACCAACACTGATCCAAATACTTCATTGAATGATTGACACTCTACCAACTGAAGACTGACCCAATGTTTCACTGATGCTCGAATTTATAACGTGGTCTTGTTTTTAACAATTCGCAAAGCATCTCGATTAATAAAATTTCCGAACACTTTAAGTATTCTAGGAATACTTTTATAAACTTGCTTATTTTTAACGTCATGCGCTAAGCATCTAAATTAAAGCATTGAAAACATATCTCACAAGCATATCTCTATTTCGATTACTATTTGATTAGCGAAGATCAACTTTAACGTTAAACTACCTTTTAATAGTACTTACTGAACCCTATTAAGTTTTATTAGTTTGCTAGCTGAAGTACCCGTCCCCTGGACGGAAGTTATGTAAATTCATGATTAATGAGAGATTTTCTTAGGGCATGAAAAGTGGCTTTTCTTACATGTAATTGTAAAAACGCAAAAACGCCCATAAAAACTGCAAAATACAAAATTTGAAACCATGATTTTGCACATATCTACGCATGGACTCAACAAACCTTCATGCTAAATTTGGTGAAGATCCATCAACAGGAGGTGTGTTATTGGTAACAAAAATGCAAAACTGAAAATATGTATGCATCTTCACATGGACCTAATGAATCTCCTTACCAATTTTGGTGAAGATTCATCTACACCCTGCGAAGTCGTTATATGGACATACAACAGACAGTACTATTATATTTATATAGACTAGAGTACCGCCCGTCAAAAATGACGGAACAAATACTACCACCCCATCCCACAGTATACCCTAAATTCACATTTTACAGCTAACTGAAATAAATAAATTTTGCGAAATCAAACTTGACCAACAAAAGAAACAACAGAAAAGTACAGTCGAAACAGTCAAACGTCGGTAAATTCCTTTGCGAGTCGATCAAAATTAAGATCATTCATGAAATGAATTCATGGCGTATTCAAAGAATAATTATTGGTAAACATCAGTTAGATTAACAACTTGTAATATATAGAAAAGACAGTGCGTTTTGGTAACGCTACGTTCAAACAATGGCTTTTATGTGAAAGAGCCGTTATTACGATATCCGTAACTTTGATATCATCGTACATAATGAGTTGGCTTGCACATAGCTTTGTTTTTCAGTAAAAACTAAATCTTAAAATAATATTTCAAAGCAAAATAGATCTACAAACTATGTTCTTAAAGGAGTTTCTGCAATGTGTTGCATATATATAAATATTGGAATGAGGTAAAAATCTGTTTTAAAAATATATGCAGCCATATTTCTTATCGTTATCACTTCTTTTCGGTGTTGCTTTTACACTGATGTGTGTATCTGTCTGTGACGATGTGTACAAGATAGCTCGAAAACGTTTCATCCGATTTTGATCAAATTTGGTACAAAAATGAGAGTCTCCCAAGTACCAATACTTAATTTTTGGTGAATGTATGTAAAGTTACGTTGAAAGTTAACAGCTTTCATTATAATAGAAGCCAGCCAAGATGGCCAAAACTCGAGAACGAATAGAAATATGAGCTTAGCACCTACACTTCCATTTTTGAACTGTTTGGTGTACATTTTCTATATTTGTTACTGCAAAAGTCGAAATAATCGTGGGGCGGGGAATGCGTTATATCTATGTGTTACTACTTATCGTTATTTGGCGTTTATTTTCAACTTAATGAAATCAATGTTCCTTTACAATTATTAGGTTCCTGAAATGTCATTTAATTACTTTTTGATTTTATATATTTCCACAAATATCAGAACTGTACGGCGTGGAATATCGTTCTTCATTCTTTGTTTTTGTTTTTGTCACTGTTTTAACAGTTAATAGGTTTTCATAAGGGACGTCAGATGGCGCTTCTTGATTCAAATCTAGTATTCCTGATCATAAAGATGGCTGGTAACCCAGGCAACGCTAAAGAAGTACTTGTGGGCGTGTAGAAGCGAAGTTTAGCGAAATGGAGAATAATACTGAGTATAGGGTGTTGAGAAATTAGGAACAGCTGCAGTATCAACAGTGGACGTCTTGTTGATGGTAAAAAAACCTCTATCTACAAAGGTAGAAACGTTTCGTAATCTCGATGTTCCAGGTCTAATGTACGTGAGTGTTGGATTTCAACATTTTAGGTTAAGGTACTTCAGAAACTAAAAGCCATCAACAAGGATTTAGAATCTTTTATGAAATTCTATATTTTGAATTCATCTACTTTGACTAACGAAATATGACGTTAAAAAAACAAGAAAACTTAACAGCACAAATAGAAAACAAAATTAAATGTTTAAATTGTTCAAATCAAATGAGTTGAATAGTTGCAATTAAAGCGACGAATCAGTAAAACAAGGCTTAGTTGTAAAATAATATACTAAAATTTAATAAATGTAGTCTTAGACTATTCCATTTAGAGTTTTTCTTCTTTCATGAAGCCTCTTGCTAGTTCGTGAAATAAAGTATTCTATGCAGAATAACGCAATCGTTTCAGGCTATGATGTTGGTATTATCACATGGAAATAGGCTTATCAGATTCGCTTAAAAAATATAGATAATAAAGTAACTGTGTAAAAGACAACTATGTGAATGGCCAGAAGTATTTAGATATTGAAACTTTACTTTGTGTCATTTTCTCAAATTGACCTGTCATTTCTCGTTTTCGTAGCTGTATAGAAACGATAACTAGGTTATGTACGCCTAAATTCCCACTTTGTATTATTCTATTTGAAAAGAGGTGACATGTTAATATATGACAAGATAATTAAAAATTTTTAATTTAAAAAGGACAATAGGGATCGTCTAAAAAGTACAGAAACAAGTTGAATCAAAATGCAAAGATTATATTTTCAAGCCTATAACTAGGGACTCTAAAAAAAATAAACAAACTAGGCTGAAAATAGTGTCTACATCATCTTATCCAGTTATAAATCCCTATTTTGACTCAGGCTGGAAATAGTGTATACATCATCTTATCCAGTTATAAATCCCTATTTTGACTCAGGCTGAAAATAGTGTCTACATCATCTTATCCAGTTATAAATCCCTATTTTGACTCAGGCTGGAAATAGTGTATACATCATCTTATCCAGTTATAAATCCCTATTTTGACTCAGGTTGGAAATAGTGTATACATCATCTTCTCAAGTTATAAATCCCTATTTTGACTCAGGCTGAAAATAGTGTATACATCATCTTCTCAAGTTATAAATCCCTATTTTGACTCAGGCTGGAAATAGTGTATACATCATCTTATCCAGTTATAAATCCTTATTTTGACTCAGGCTGAAAATAGTGTCTACATCATCTTCTCAAGTTATAAATCCCTATTTTGACTCAGGCTGGAAGTAGTGTATACATCATCTTCTCAAGTTATAAATCCCTATTTTGATTCAGGCTGGAAGTAGTGTATACATCATCTTCTCAAGTTATAAATCCCTATTTTGACTCAGGCTGGAAATAATGTATACATCATCTTCTCAAGTTATAATTCCCTATTTTGTCTCAGGCTGGAAATAGTGTATACATCATCTTCTCAAGTTATAAATCCCTATTTTGACTCCATGGCTACAGTACTTATCAATTTTAGTGGAGTCAAAATAGGGATTTGTAGCTTGGGAAAATAATGTATTGTTTATTTTGTTTAGAGTCCATAGTTGTACGCTTGGAAATATAATATTTACATTTTGATTCAACTTAATTCTATACTTTTTTGACGATCCCTATTCTTCTTTTAAAATTAAAAATTTTTAGTTATTTTGTTTCTTATGTTTTATTTTTTATGTCCACTTATGGATTATAAAAATTTTAAGCTAAATACGTGCGTATACATTCAGTTGAATGTTAAACGTATTTCAACAGTTTACTGCTGTATTGGCTTTTTCTCCATCTTAACCATTATTTACTGAACCACGTGGTTTTGTGCTTGAGGTTTCTTGCAAACACGCGTTTAACAAAGTCGAATACAAAGGAAGATGGTCACAACAATATCGTATATATTATGTACTTATAGCCACACGAATCAACTTTCAATGAAAACATAATCAATTTTTTAAATAGGTCATGGACATTCGCAGCGTTTCATATAGTATATCTCTTTAGGTTTTGGTGCAAAATACGCAGCCGATTTTGCTGTAGACTTGTCAACCAAAAATATGAATAATAATAACACTAGAATACGCACTAACAATTTCAACGAAGTACTAAAAGCAGTAGAATAAATCATCACTCCCAAGAGTAGAGAAATCCACTACTGTTAGAAAACACTCTGAAATAGTCGCAGAAAACCACGTAGAGACAAAGTACAACAGCGAACTCCAGAAACAACAAAAAACAGCGACCTTAAGACATTATGAATCCTCAACTTGGCAGTTTCCAATTAATGAGCTGTAAGTTGCACAAATTACTTTCCATTAGTAAAATACCGGATTTTTTTTAGTGACAGAAAATGAAGGACTTAGAGAAATTTTTCAGGGAGAGAAAACGAAAGCTCTTGAATTAATTTTAAACTACCCTATAACATGCTAAATACTGCATTCATTATTATTTTCCAGGTTTCAGTATAATATTCGTAGCCGTTTCTTCTGTAGCGGCGTGTAAAAATATAAACAATAATAATAAGGCTGGAGACACTGTTATAAATATACATGTTGTTTACTCTAATAAAATGAAACGTTTCACACTAGTATATATGGAGTATTTCCGACTAGTATAATGGTGCTTAAATGGCTTCTACATTTCTGCGGTGCTTGAATGGCTTAGAAGAGCTTATGTTGGTAGCGAAGAAGAACTTAGAAAATTTTAAAGGGTGTATATCTCGACTCTCAAGAATATATCCCTACAATCTTCACAGGAGTTTATTTTGTAGTTGTGAGTAGATTTTGGCGCACCATACCTAGCCGTTTTGCTGTAGGCTTCAGCGTTTGAATGTTTTCGAAGAGACACTTGGCCAGTAGCGATGAAAAACAGATAAAATCTCTCCTTTCCTTTCTAGAATCAACATAAAAACTGTCCTATGATCCACACAGGGTTTTTCTAGTAGGTTTGCCCAGGTTTCAATGAAATATTCATAGTCGTTTTTTCTGTAGGCTTGTGAAACAAGAATAATATGGATAACAGTAATATGAAGAACAAATGGATGAATTTTGAATTCTGTCTAACAATCGGAAAATCAGCTTTTTTATCGTTATTATTAATATTTTAGCAACCTTAATCATTGAGATAGAAGTGTTCTTTCAAGAACAAGTCTGTTTTTAAGATAGTTTTTGCTCGTATGTTCTATTAGAATTTTTGTGAAATTCCTGGGTGATCCCTATTATTAAACACTATCGTGGTTCATGATATTGATAAAAATATTCTTCATTATCTGATTGATCGTGTGTGCTTTGGAATATCAGGACTTAATTTTAGGATAATTTGACAGAACATTTTCTGCTGTCATTATAAATGGAATTAAGTTAATAATCAGTGGCGACTCATTAGAGGAGAAAAAAAACGACCCCTGGAAGATTTTGAAAATATAAAATATTTCATTTTTTCATATTAATACCTATATCACGTTTTGATTTGAGCGAAAAAAAAATTAAAAACTTCATTTTTTTTATTTCTAGAAAAACGCTCGAAAATATTCTTCTCCTGCTATAGGTTTACGCCAATCATCAAAGTAACATTTAGTGGTGTTAAACTCTTTTTTTATCTGTACAATTTCCCTATAATTACGAAGGACATAGCCAAAAGGAGCCCAGTCTTCTTATTGGATTTAACAAGGACTTTTAGGCCAGCCTTACAACTAATGGTGTTTTTTTTAAGTTAAGCACAAAACTACACTATGGGCTATCTGTGCTCTGCCCACCACAGGTATCGTTAAGCACAAAACTACACTATAGGCTATCTGTGCTCTGCCCACTACAGGTATAGACACCTGGTTTCTAGCGTTGTAAAACCGCAGACATACCGCTGTGCCACTGGGGAGGACACACACACAGCGAATGGAGCCTTTTTGAATCTAGGTTTAGAGACAACCAAGAAAAATAATCTTAAGAAAAGTTTGTATGTAACATGAAAGCACGCAAGTCTCACAAGGTCGCGGCACGAATTTAATGATCCTATTGTTATTCAGTATTCAGTCTGGGTAACTATATCTTTATGATGAAGTTGGTTTACAGTATCATTTTGATGGGTCTGGTTAACTATATCATTATGATGGAGTTTGTTTACAGTATCATTTTAATAGGTATGTCTAGTTAACTATATCTTTATGATGGACTTGGTTTACTGTATCATTTTGATAGGTCTGGTTAACTATATCATTATGATGGAGTTGGTTTACAGTATCATTTTAATAGGTATGTCTAGTTAACTATATCTTTATGATGGAGTTGGTTTACTGTATCATTTTGATAGGTCTGGTTAACTATATCATTATGATGGAGTTGGTTTACAGTATCATTTTAATAGGTATGTCTGGGTAACTATATCTTTGTGATGGAGTTGGTTTTCTGTATCATTTTGATAGGTCTGGTTAACTATCTTTCCATAGTATGTCTGGGTAGCTATATCTCTGTGATGCAGTTGGTTTACACTATCATTTTGATAGGTCTGGTTAACTATATAATAATGAAGGGAACTCGTTTACGATATCATTGTGAAGAATCGGTATAACTATCTTTTCATATTGCATCTGGTTAACTATTGCGATACACAAAAATTGTTTAGGAGGTGAATAAAACCAAAGTTTATTTTTTATTGTGTTTTAATACAATAAGTGTGGTTGTGTTGTCAGTGAGTGGTCCGTGATTCTTCACTCGGCCAGGATAGACTTTCATGCTTTATAGAGTCATCCTATAAAACTGGGTTTTAGAAAATCGATAGGTGTCGTACTGAATGTTATCATATAAATCCAGTTTTAGTCTGCTTTTCCAATGTATTTCACTATGAAAGACACGTAACAGGCTTGATGTAGGCATTTTTTTAATAATTTGATATCAATGTTCCAATCACACACACACAAAAGTGTAAGCAGAACTACGTTAAAAAGTTATCGCTCTTAAATTCAAAATGATTTCCCCCCTTTTTACATGTTTGATTATGAGTGATTGAATCATTTTATGCA